CAACACTTGCCACTGTAATTCTCGCACTACAGCGTTGGTACAATAATACCTCAACTTACACAAATGGATTTACATTATAGTTGGTACTAGTACTTCATTGCTGGGGAAAAAGGATGAACAAAAAGAAACACTTCACCGCTTCTATTTCAACATCATGCTCAAATAAAAATACTCCCTCTATCGCAAATGATTGTCCTATTTGGATTTTTACTTTTAGTACAATTTGTACGAAAAATGAAAATCCGAACTGGATAGTCATTTCGGAACGGAGGGAGTATAAAACTTTTAGCTTTAACTTGAAGGAATTACCCCTTGCAAAAACCTCTGCTTTGGAAGTTTAACCTCTTTGAATCTCTCACATATACACCAACAACTAAGCTTTTATCCTACTTTGCAGAGCTGACCACGTAGCTACCACTTATTAGAAGAGATTCTATTACTCATATCCGTGTATATTCTTGGATTTTAATTCCAGGCGCGAAGATTAATATTTTAATACTTCAGTGTAACGTGTAAGATGTTTGTGACTGGAAATGTAACCAAATGCCATTACGTTCTTTGTCTTGCTCGAATGTTCAAAAACTACTGCAAAGCAATAAAGAATGTGCCATTCACTTATTAGTCCTAGGGAAAATGTTCCAGTCTAAGTATTATAAAATTACCAGTATATGGTATTCTCTCGTGAACAAAAAGAAGTAAGCCTATATCTGTTACAAGAAATCAGCTATAAAGAACATATCATGCATTGGATTAAGTCAGTTCACAGAATTGTATTTAGGCTTACACATATCATGCATTTTTCATCATTACTTTCAAGACCTTTTCCATCTTCTCTTTCCACTTTAATTTAGATGAATCACCTCTATTTGATGCATGCCGAATTGCAGCACCTAACTGTTACCTATGCAAATATGCAGATGTTTCCCTTTTCCTGGGTACTACATCTATTAGAGCTAAACTCATTTTCCATACCCATGAAGCATCATTGATACTGATAAATTGACCAAGAAAAAAAAAAGAAAGAATATTCACCTTTTGCTGAGAGATCTAAGGAGGCCCTACTGTTGTAGGTAAAGAAGAGACACAGGTTGAAATGCCAGAAGCGGAATCTCTACGGAGTTCCTTAACAACAGCAGCAAGTACCTCAGGGTTGAGACCCATTTCGCAAAGGGAAATCAGAACTGAAAGCGTATGACGATCCAGCCCAGTCTCAAGAATATTAGACATGTGAAATACAAGGTCCAGAGAGTCTCGTGCCGTTCTTGCAGCATCTGGGTCCATCTAGCAAATCAAAAAAATTTTGACAATCACTAAGAAATTGATGAAAACTTTTTCCAAACCCGGAAAAAGAAGTACTCACTGAATGCACCCCCTGATTATTGAACACTATATTTCAAATTTCATGCCAAATTCATGACTACCTCGAGCTAACTTCAGAAATAAACAAACAATTCAGCGACCTAATTCGGTTCCGGCAATGTCACCTTGTGGGTTGTGGCTGTTTAATTCTTCAAGTCGGAATCAGATTGATTCGCCCTCACTGGTGGGTGATCGCCGTGAAGAGATGAATTCCGGAGCGAGGGAAAACCACAGTAATTGTGCCCTGAAAGGTCACTAACAAAACTGCCACATCGACATCCATTAGTTTGTCACTAAATTCCAGTACATTTTTATTTTTCTTTTTTCGTCCTCTTTTTTTAAGTTTTGTACTATCTCTTTTCCCAATGTAAATCCAAATTCTATTTCATACTATGTTAAAATCACTTTATCTCACAATGCATAATTTTGTTTATTTTGTCTAAATTAACATTGTCTCTATAATAGTTTCTAAGTTAAGTTATTAATTAATGTTAAAATATATACATTTTATATTTGCAAATTATGAACTCTTTATATTTATAGCACTCAATGTAGACTTCAATGGTGAAAAGAGGATAGTACTAGCAAGAAACGGATCGAACTGTTGAGCGTCCTTATTGTTTCATTTGAGCGCCCGCGAAAGACAGACACGCCCCTACAAATGGAGGTAAGTTTTTTTTTCGAAAAGAAAGGGGGGAGGGAGGGCGAGGGAGATTACAGCTGGCGCAGGAGAAACAGGCCACCCACATAGGGATGGCGTGCAATAAACTCGGAGGCGAGACGGCCTTCGCCTTAGGCGAAGGTGGCGCCACCTTTGTCCAAATGCTCGCCAACCACCCGATGGGTGGCGCCCCCATTTTTATTTTAATTTTATAATTTTTTAATATTTTAATATTTATTAGTTTAATAAATGTTATTATTAGTTTAATAAATTTATTTAATTCATATATTTATTTTATTTGATTATTTGTTTGGTAATTTAATATTTGTTTAGAAAATTAGGGTTTATGCTAATTAGGGTTTATGATATTTAGAGAATTTTTTTAATTACGTATTTTGTTCATAGGTTGTAATTGTTATATTAAATGAGTTAATTTCTTGTTAATAATGTATTTAGATTGTTATATGTTTTAATTATGTTAATTATGTAGTATGTTCGTATGAAATAGTTTGTTTCTTGTTAAATGGGTGTTTAGGTAGTATGTTAATGGGTATAGGGTTTGGGTGTTAGGGTTTTGTTAAAATAATGAGTTTTTCTTAATAATGTATTTAATTTGTTATTAGTATATATTAATTATCTTTAAAGTATAAGATCATTATATCGGATTATATATTTTGTTTTTTGCTCATAGCAAATTATTTGTGGTTTAATATTATTAGAGTTAATTTAAGTTATGATATAATTCGTTTTTAATGCGTGCAGGATAGGTTTGATCAGGGGGATGGAGTCGATTATAGTCCGGCTTTTGCTACAGACGAGACTTTTGCCACAAATAAGGAAGTTGTTGCATATGCGAAGGGTTTGCGAATATCTATAACATGGAGTTAAGTGTATCCTCGCACAAGGATAATAGGACTATACTCCTTTGTCATAAAGGAGGGCGGTACCAAGGTCAACAGGTGGATGAAAACGTGCGCGCCCGAGTCAATACAAAGACACAGATGACCGGATGCCTGTTTCGTATTACTATTTACAAGATATATGATAGGTGGGCAATCCGTGTATATCCAGGTCCGTGGGAAATGCACAACCATTCATTGAAAGATCCACCTCGAGTCAGAATGCCATTGAGTGCAGAAGTGAAAGAGCTTATTAAGGAGTACTCCAAAGCTGGGACTAAGGCAGTCCACATTTTACGGGCGATATGGACACAATTTCTTGATGAAAAGGGTTACCTCCAAACAAGTCTACAACTACAGAAATCAATTGCATAAGGAGGGGTTTCCAATTCTAGATGACCTGGCTGCCATGGACGTCGTGGGAAAGGTGTTAGAGGTCGGAAAACAACACAAATACATCATCTTCACGGAGTGCAATGAAGAGACACAGAGGTTATCCCACGTGTTTTTCGCACATCCAAATTCTTTGTTGCTGTTGCGGACGTATCTTTGGGTTGTTTGTGTAGATTCCACGTACAACACAAACAATATAAAATGCCTCTTGTGGAGTTTGTTGGAATGACCCCTTGCAATCAGACCTTCCTTATGGCATATGCTCTTCTGAGTGATGAGACGGGGGACAGCTACCATTGGGCGTTGTGGCAGCTCCGTAACTTGTATGGCGATGATCTGCATCCGAGTGTCATCGTGACTGATCGGGAGCCTGGACTGATGAGGCTTCTTGATGATGTATTTCCATCATTTCATCACTTGTTTTGTACGTGGCACGTTTATAGGGATGTTGAAAAAAATGTGAAAAAATTTTTGAACGGAAATGCCCATGTAGCAAAAAGTTTCGCGTACAAGGCCTTTAAAACAGTGATCGAAGCTGCAAATCGGGAAGAATACGAAGAAAAAGTACAGTTTTTGGAGCATAATTGGTCTCAATTTCAGCTCGTCCTAGAGTATGTTAGGAAGACATGGTTAGTGGTGGCGGACAAGTTTGTGCATGCATGGACCAACACTTATTTGCATCTTGGCAACACCACTACTTGTAGAGTGGACTTTCTCGCCCCCTCCCCCCTCCCCTTTCGGCAGCGAAGAAATGGGCGCCATCCCAGCCCCGGCCGGCGAGGGAGATCCGCGCCGGGGCGAATAGAGCTGGGGCGTAGATCCGCGCCAGCTCTGTAAGGAGTGGCGAAGAACCCCCGGCCGGCGAGGGAGATCCGCACCGGGGCGAGTAAAGCTGGCGCGCATATCGGATCTGTAAGGAGTGGCGCAGCGCCACTCCTTAAGAGCTAGCGTGGATCTGCGCGCCAGCTCTACTCGCTCCGGCGCGGATCTCCCTCGCCGGCGGGGGCTGGGGTGGCTTTTTTTATTTTATTTTAAACAGTCCTAATTCAATCTAATTGAAAAAACAATTCAAATTTTTACGTACCTTCAGTTTTCGTAGCCGTTTCATTCGTTCAGCCATTGAATCTAAGTTTTTGGGAGTTTGGATTGAGAGAATTTGAAATGAAAGATTGATTTAGCAATTGAAAGAATGAAATTAAAACTTTTAATTTATAAAATCATTTAGGAGCAAAAAGGTCTTTTAATATTATATTAGGACGCTCAAGAGAAATTTTTATGGCGTTTAGTAGACTCCCAGTTGTTCTTTTACCCAAAAGCAATGATGCCAACGTTTTCCCAGTTACACATTCCCTTAGGGTTTATACTTCAACAAATTCACACTAATAAAACCTTTCATTAAAGAAATTCACGAGTGAAAAACAAAACAAAATCACAAGATTGGCTTTGTTTGGACAACCTTACATTTTACATTTTCACACATTTTACCTCTTAAACACAAAACCCAATGGAAAACAAAATATTATCAAAACAAGTTTCTAATTTACATTTTAAATTCCAACTTGAAACACTTTTTGTTAGTGTAATGACCATTTTGGAACTACAAATAGTTCAGTGACAAATTTGGCAGGATTCTGATATTGAGTAATTATTTTTGGAAAAGTTCTTTTTTTGCAATGACTATAATTGACAATATTTAATTGTTTAGTGATGACTTATACTTGATATTTCAAAATGTAGTTCAAAATACTTTTTTTTAAAACCAACATCCAAACAACATTTTTATTTCTCATTTAGTTTTCAATTTGAAACACTTTCCATTTTTAAGTGACAAAATAAAATGTAAGTTGACATCCAAACACTTCCCATTTAGTTTTCACCTATAACGACGTCTCTCTCTCGCCTATTTTCAGTTTCAACAACTCATCTATCGAATTACCAACGGCTCCGGACTTCAAGAAGGAATTAAGGTAACGGAAATCGGGCTTCAATGAACCAACCACTCCGGGATGAAAAATTTTTAACCACCTACTTTTTCCTCTTGGCGGTTTCACTACTTAGAAGTCATGACATTAACCCATGTGGCCAACAACCTCAGTATCAGTGTCCTTACGTGTCTTGGTCAAGATTCCCATTTACTTGGAATTGAATTCTCTTCCGAAGCACTGCTAGAGGCAACTACGTGCCTGCTATTTTCCTGGGATTTTGATGAGCTCTCTAAGACAGTACTCTCGTCAAAACGTTTGCTTTGCTTCTCTTCATCGCCAATCTCAATACGGTTTTCTTTTGTGTCTTCATCACCCCTACAAATAGGAAACCAAACTGACTTTAGAATACATTGCTGACAGTAAAGGTAAAAGTACTTCGTAATGAATGCTACATAGATTGTTGTAAATCGACCCCCCAAATTTCCTTTCAACAATCTAAAATTTCACAAGGAAAGAAAATGGTACAAAAGAAAAACTTCAAGAGTTGAATTTTAGAAATCATGTCACTGCACCCCAGGGATCGATCTATAAGGGGAAAAAAAATACACACACACACACACACACACTCAGAGAACAGAAGAAAAACTCCTGGTAAGCTAGCCAGCTCTGACAAACACAGCCAAAAAAACAAAAAAAAAAAACTCTAAATAAATAACAAAAAGAAGCGGTAATACTATCAGAATGTAAATCTGTAGAAGTGAAGTATCATAAACTGAATGTATGGAAGTCAGCAAGAAAAATGCATTCTTTGTTAAAAAGAAACAAAATGTGACCTGTAATCCTCTTTGGTTAAGATTTTTCAAAATGGCCGTATCCCTTAGGGCAACTGCAATGGTTAACTTTCTCACATCCATAAATTTACAAAAAGGACAAAGTAATTTAAAAAATATATTGAATTTTGGCTCTATTCATTTCTCTTTGGCTTTTTAAGGCCGACCCCCTATGTTCTACATTTATGATTGTGGACTGGGTTTTGTTATAAATGGACTGCAATGGTCACTTTCAATTAACTGCTGACAATTGGCCCCCAATTCAAGTCCATGAATGGACCCCATCGGAGCCCTTCAGTACTCAACAAAAGCCTGCTTATCACATGCTCGAAACAAGCCCACATTGCGTGTACTATTATTAGAATTTTGAATGCATGCAATTGCATAAGAAACCTAAATAAATTCATCATCGAAAGCAGATTCCAATCGTCAAGCATAAGAAGAGTGAAATTTAAGAAGAGAAGATAAAGAGATCTTAAATGATTCCCAACGAAATCAAATGATAAAATTAGGAGGACTGAAGAAATATTCATACCCTGAATAAACTACAAGTCCAACAGCAACACCCGCAAATGCTACAAAATACATCCAGTCAACCTGAAGAGCCAAAGAGAAGTCACCACAGAGTGATAGACGATCAAATACTTCACCAATGAATCTGGTTAAAAGCCACAGAAAGGTTCATATATTTCTCATCCATTTCAACCTTTTCATGGTATGCAAAGATCCGGATGAAGACTGCCCACATATCTGAAGTGAGTAATGACAGATTAAACATTGTTGAACCACTGATCTGCACAAGAAGTAGAGTGGAGAGGTTACTGGCTGTTTCCAGTCAAATTCGGATAAAAAAAAAAAATCTTTTTACGACTTTTCACACTCATAGCACTTTGTTCACAACATTTTACATCTGCAATGCAACTTTAACATTTGTTAACTAAACCCCATCCAGATCCAACCACAACCACAACCACTCTCAAATGTAGCAGAAACTTCACACATAAACCATACCTTTAGTAAGATAGGGACCAGTGAGTAGAACAAAAACATCGCCAGGGAAAATCCGAAGAATGGAAATGCCTGAATCCACAAAATAGAGAAGGATCAAAATCAGGTTGAAGCCAGATAACATTTAAGCATGAACTATGTCCAATTATATTATAAAACAAGTTTGACCAGGAGCTATCTGAATTCAATAAGAATTAACTTGTCAACTTAGCATCATCTTAGTCCCCCTCAATGTATTGGTTTGCTTATATTTTTATTTTAAAAAAAAAAAAAAAAATGGCATTACCAAAATGGATTACATGAACAAAGCAATAAAATAACACCATCCCATAAACCATCAATCAAAATTCTATTAGAAAGAAGAATAACAAAGACTACATTTCTTTTTGAAGAAAGAGTAGCTAAAAACATAAGGGGTCACCATATAGAATATGAAGTCCAAAAGGAAGCCACAAACTCTGAAGTCTTTATAATCTCGATACAAAAGCATTTTGTAGATTTTGGTTAAGAACCCTCCAAGAAAGAAAAGCTTGAAAGAAATAGGATCAGAAAGGGAAACTACAAACATCACTTTTGCTAGAAGCATATAATTTGAACCTGGAAGGGCAAATGACAAAGGAACAAGATATTTCTCAAAGCTTGCAAACAGCATCCATATCAAATTGCACCCAAGAGGCCAATGCCTATGGGTTTTGCATAACTTCATTTTGACATCCCAGTTAAACAAAAATAAAGCTTGAGAGCAAAACAACTATTCTTATGTTGCTTGTCTCAACAATGCAAGTGTACAACAACATCAACAACAACAACAACAATAACAACAACAACAACAACAACTACAGACTTAGGCTTTATTCGAAAGTAACCGTATCATTCTACACAAAAATTCAAGTGTAAGTATTTAGTGTAGTATCAATCGAATTCATCAAACTTCCAACTTCCAGATTGTTGCTGGTAATATATATGTTCCAACTTCCAGCGGTGACTTGAAATTCAGTTTTTAACAATTTTGCATTTGTCAGTGTGTATGCTAGAGAAAGAGAAGCATTGAAGACAGTAGTAGGAGAGAGAAAGTGACTCACTGCTCCAGCTGACCAGTGTATAGACCTGAGTTCATTGCGTTCAAGTATGCTTCTGTAAGCAAAATTAAGGGCAACAATGGTTGCAGATATGGACCCCATCATTCCAGAACTAAAGAGGAACACAAATTGCAAATTTGACTAATTTAAGCTGTGTCAACTTACAGCAGCAGAGGTCCTGCACTCTGAATTTTCCAGAAGTAATAGTCATTTGTGATCAAATGTAAGACTTAACTATTAATAAGTCCTGATTTTTCTGTTCATATTGGTGAAGAAGTGAAAAGTAGTGTTTAGACATTTAATTTCTCCAGATATTTTGCAAATTGGTAATTAGGATCCGGTAGCAGTCTAATTCAAGGTTGTAACACAAAGCCTCCTAAATAATATGCTAGATACTAGGAAGCATTCAAAAAGGATACATTTGGACAGCACTGATAATAGCACCAAAGATTCCCAAGAATGCCATGAGTTCAATCCTGTCAGCACTTTTGACTAGAAACTCCTACATTTATCATATCAAAGAGTTAGTCACAAAGTATTTCTGGAAAACATATACTGTGCATTAGATAAAATATGACTTCAAACGAGGTTGATATCGGGTATCGAATACAAGGTGAAACATATCAAGCATAAGAAGCACTAACTTGTCCACATAAACAGAAAAATAATACATCTCTGCCTGCGCATATCATTATCTCTTCAGTCTTAAAGAATGCAGGCAACACTGAGGTAACCATTTTGTGAGTGTTAAAAGTTGTAACAGTTGTTTACCCACCTCACTGACGTTACTGATAGCATAAAGTGTAGCGCCAGCAATAATAAGCACATCTCCTTTAACTGGATTGCTGCCACCTAGCAACACAACAAACCATTCAGCGCAAGGAAGTGGCAAATTAAACATACAATGTTTACATAACAATCATAGATCATAAGTATCCAGAAAAGTTCTGCTATCCTTCTTCTCATGGAAAACTAGGCATGGGAATGCACTTTCGCCACTAGATTGTCTTTAGTCAGATTAGGACGGAAATTGACAACTAATGTTACAGTAGACATTCTAAGAACTATCATATTTGTCGAGGAGCTTTCCTTGCGTTGGAAAAAAAAAATGAATTAATCAAATAAAGCTTTTTAAACAAGCAGACGGAAAGACCTTGAAGGACATTGCATCAATGCATCTTCTTGTACTAAGACAGCCTTTCTGTATTGAAGTTCAGGGGTAAGGTGGCATACATCTTGACCCCTAGACCCCAACGAAGATGGGAATAGACTCGGTAGGTTGTTTTTGTTAATCCTGAAATTTAACTACCATGTACTTGAACAAAAACAAAAGTGCTAGATTCTCTTAATCATTATTTCTGAATTTGGGGAACACTCTTCAAAACATAACTTTAGTAAAATATAAGACATGCAAACTATATATACATGTTATATGAGCAAAGGCCCAATGGGTGAAAGCAATATAGGAAGAGGACATAACCAACAAGAAGCAACAACTATAATATATACTTGTTTTGTGCACAAATCTGATGGGGGTTCAGTTTATGAAGACACAGAGAAGCAAACTTATCAAACAATAACAAAAATGAAGAAAACTTTACGTGCTCGATCTGCAGAATGTACATCGGAGAAAACAACCAACACCAGGCCCGCAACACAGATGCCAACACCAATAAACTTCCGGTACTTGTACTTTGTCTTCAAAAACAGCCAGGTAAGCAGAATGACACATGGAATTGACCAACAATCCAACAGCATAACACTAGTTATTGATGTATACTGATATGCCTTCACCACTGTACATTAATCAAGACAAAATCATTTTCTGCAGAAAGATAAGCCAATTCCGAAATGAATTCTTACGAACTCAAATTTGATTTTCTTTAAATCAAAGAGCTTATATCTACCACAAGATGCTGAGTAAGATTGAAAACGAAAGAACTCTATTACAGAAGTGACATGATAGCATTTACCATTTCCCCAAGCAATTCTGCGTTCAACTCAGCAGAAAAGCTTTTCGGTTATACATGGATTACTAACATCATTGTAACAAACTACTTCAATCATCATGGAAATAATGATCCTCACAACTGATCTACAACAGTTAAACTAGGATTTTATCTTTTGCGGGCCATTGATAAGTATAGTGATCCAGCAATCTCATGTCAGAGGATAACTAGGATTACCAGACAAAAAAGTAATCCATGCAAGGAGTTTCATGAATTATGCAGAACCCTATGAAGCTGCTATGGAATTTCAGGACGTGGAGATCAGAATAATGGGAACAAAGGACATTGTTTAAGGATCATTGCAATATAGTGGCTCCATCTTGTACACTGAATTGGCATATGCTAATGCATCAAATAGAAATGACAATACTTAGGGGAAGGGGCTGTGGTGGTGGTCTGGATGGGATATTGTAACCTTGAGGTCTTGAATTCGAACACCTCTGGAATAAAATCACACACACACACACACACACATAGAGAGAGAGAGAGAGAGAGAGAGAGAGATCTTTCAAATATGACATTTAATTTCAATGTTCACTTAATTACAAAATTATATCTAGAACTAAAATATGACATTTTATTTTAATGTTCACTTGATTACAAAATTGAATCTAGAACTAAACGATGACATTTTATTTCAATGTTCACTTGATTACAAAGTTGAACATAGACATTTACTTGTACTGATAAGTTGACACTAGGATCCACAGCGAAGCATTTGTTGTCTGGAAACTTCTAGCAAAGTTATATCGACAGACAACAAAGATTTATAACCCCTAATTTATCCCCATACAGCCAGGCACCGTATCCTCAAAATCTTTCAAGTTTTTAGTCTCTATCATGAAACTGCACCATAAAATGGTTGACAGGCCCTCAGTTTTCAGCGATATAAAAAGACGTAATTTCAGCTTTGGACAGCCAAAAATAGAGCTGCAAATCAGAAAGATCCAAGGTTCAACTTTACAACCAAATCCTATAGGTCTGGATGACTTGACCATTCCCATTTATATACTACCATTTTATCTGAAACCAAAAGTTCAATTTGTCAAGATGCTTTGTGAAAAAGTAAACGACTGAAATAAAACTTTGAAGAATAACGAAGTGACAGCAAATTGAGTTGATAGCATGAATAAAACTAATTCGGTTATTACAACAGAAACATCAAAAGTATAGTTTCTATGGTGACTTCAAGGGGTGAAAGGAACAGTTGTTCTTGCAATCTCAAACTCAGTATCAAAACACAAAATAGCATTTTAATACTGTAGAAACAAACAAAAAGATGCAACCGATTCTCACCTAGAAAATTCGCCTCCACATCAACAAGTCCAAGTAGAACATAATAATACCATTTTGCCTGCTCAAGAGGAATGGTCAAGGTCAAAAAGATGAAAGATAAATGCATTATAGTGTATTTTATCAGCATATGGTGTTAATATGTTACAGCCATGTTTCAATCAAACTAAATATCCCAGTAAACTTTGCATGTCCATTTGGACAAAAAAACAAATTGTGAATGTGATTGGAACCAAAAAGTGTCAACAGTATAGATTTTCATTTGCCATCATTGGCTTACTCAAGTTTAGGGAACAAGTTTCAAAAAGTTCTGCAACAGGTAATTTACCCCCAGTATATTCTTTTGATGTCAATTGATGAGCTGTCTCCCTCGCCTCTCTCCCTCTCTCTCTCTCTCTCTCTCTCTCTCTCTCTCTCTCTCTCTCTCTCTCTCTCTCTCTCTCTCTCTCTCTCTCTCTCTCACAAAATGTGTCATGCCTCTGTCACTACCTACTCTGATTTTTATTTTTGACTTCAAGTTAAAGGAACGGTATTACCTTTTTATCTAATAATTGATGTCCCCATCTGCTCATACTACCTCAGCAAAGCAAGTTAGAAATAAGTGGAAATTGATATAGCAGCGTAGTCACTAAGGGAAGATTGGTAACAGCTTTAGTGAAATCCACAACTACTCCTACAACATGTCTATTCAGCTCAATCATCAAGAGACAAAAACTAATCGCAGAAATCAGAAAAACAAAAATGTAAGAACTAATAATATACACTTTGTTTGTCATCTTGTGCAGAAATTAACACTCACCAGTCTTCCATTACAAGCTACAAAACATTACACGGATGTAAGCCCCGATACATGTTTTATACGCATTAAATCCTGAATTCCAAGTTCATAATTCTCCAGCCACAAAAAAAAAAAAAAAAACTCTAAACCAGTTCCTTAGCACCAGAAATCTCCTCACAGAATAGTTAGTCTACACCAACTATTGGAATCGAACTAAAGGCACTGTGAGATAATTACACAACTTTTGAAAATGATTACTGCCAAGTTCATGATTACCACATCTCCCCATAGCATAATGCCGGAATTACAATGTACTAAAATGCCACTAAACACTTCTCACAAACAAACGTGACATCACTTTATCACCAAATGAAAGATAAGAAGAAAGTTGAAGATATCCAAACAGAGTTAACCTTCAATGGTTGTCGTCGGTACAGCATAATCCCTCCATAGATTACACCCAACAATACATAATTCAAAAAGGATTGAGAGGTTGGCGCGTTGATTCCTGCATAAACACAGGCAAGGCAAACAAGAAAATATAGTAAGTTTTTTTCTGATTTAACATCAAAAACTCTTAACTCACTACAGAACAAGAATTGCATATTTAAAAAAATCGAACAAGAAAAAGCTAGCTTAGAAAGGAAATACAAGTTATAAAACTCTACAGTAAAACTCAGAATCAACCTCAATACGAGAGCAGAATCAGATTCTCTTTTAGCTAATAAAATACATGTACACATCATTAAATATGCAAAACACCGAGAAATGGGACAAACCTCTTCGAGCAAGTTCAGAAGATGAAAACCCAGTGGAAGTGATCAAAAGAGAAAGAAATTGTCCCAAAATTAGCGCCACAACAGTCTTCTTTGTCAGATACTTCTTTACAGAACTCATAGAAATAGCCATGCTGATTATACCTTTTCTATTAGGCTACAAATTCCAGCTACCCCACCCAAGAAAAATGGCCAAAATCAAAAGGGTGGGAATAACCCACAAAGAAAAACAGCTCAAACAACCCAAAAACTCATCCCAGAAAATTTCCTGTTCCAACGAAAAAGATGACCTTTGTGTCCAGTAAAAACGTCTACTGAAGTACAAAAAGGAAGGCAAAACCCACCAAGAAAATATTACTAGTAAAATTGAAGAAAAAGCAAAGAGTAGTGATGATGGAGAGAATATGGAGCAGAGTAATAATGAATGACAACCTCCCAATAAGGCAAAAATTCCCTTCTAATAAAGCCGCTTTCGGGAAATCGTGTGCCTGCTTCCAAGTTCCAAATCCTTAAATGCCGTTGGAAGTTGAGAAGTTTGTGTTTGAGTTGGAGAGTCAAGATGTATTGTAAGCCAACAAGCTTTTGCACTTTTTTTCTTTGTTCTTTTCTCCCATTTTTTGGCTTTTTGATGATTTTTTTTTAATAGCTTAATCCAGCTCTGCTACATTATTGCTTTTTAGATTTTCTTTTACTCATTCCAAAATAAGTGTCATTCTACACTTTGCACATAATTTAAGAAATTCTTAAATAGGGTAATAAAATTACTTGAATATCCTCAACCAACCCCATTAAAAAAATATCCACCAATAATATTAATTCTTTCAAGGATAATTTTGGAAACTTTAGACAAAAAGTATATTGAAATATGAGAACGACACTTATCTTGAAATTTTTCCATTTTGTTAAAACGACATTTAATTTGGAACGGAGGAGTACTTGATAATGTGTCATATTTTAATCTTTTGTTTCAAATGATCAATAAAGACTGAATGTTTCTTTATAGTGCATATTTCAAAACCATATATAGGGCAGGGTTTGTATATCATTCCGAAATTATCTACAACAAATTTGTAACTTTGTTATTACTCTTTAAATGTATATAACACCACAAAAACCATTCCGTTTGTAAAGAACTTTTTAATTATCAATTTGTATCAGTTTGGTTCTTCAAAAGTCAATGACTTGAAACTAAGAGTCAACTCGCACCACATTCCTATCATTACAATGAATTTAGCCATACAACTTATGTAGTATGAAAATGACTTTAACATTATTTTATTGCTATAAAAATCGTTTACTTTCTTAACATTCGTCTGTGAATTAAAACTGATAAAATCTTATCATGAATGCAGAACAAACTGAATTATTAAAATAAAAAGAAAAAACAAATATCTGAAGCGTTGAACAAAGCCCCTTAAAAACAAGAAATTAATTATAACAATTTTTCTTTTTGGTGTGTGCTTTTTTTCCCCTCTTTGATAGATTCTCTTCTGACGTTGTAAAGAAGACGCATACTAAAAATATACTGATTTATTATCATATTAGTTTTATGCCCGCGCACACTACGGATTTTAAATTTTTGTTCATTTTAAAATTCAGACATTATTACTTTTTGTTAAGGGATTCATAAAGTCTTTCTTGAAACATATATTAACATGATTTATAACTACGTAATTTACCACTTATGGTTTTGCTCATGTTAAAAAGGCGTATTATAGTCATTCTTAAAAATATAATAGATGCTTGGCCGGACAAATGTCCGGGCGCCCCCTCTAAATTACTATTTTATTAAAATCTAATTGAATTATAATTTTTGAGGAATTAATTTGGCGTATATATCATTTATGCTATGATTTGGGGCTTAAGAAAATATACCTATAAATCTGAAGTTATAAGGGAATAATAAATAATTAGTTTATAAGGCATTATTCTTAATTGCTGGATTTAGGTATTTTTATTTTTTGTTTATATTAAGCCTGCAAAACTATACGATTGGACATTTGAATTTGAATTAATATATCCATTCGTTTGAAATGTAACTGATCCTTATTTGTAGTAAAACATATATTTTTTTAAAAAAAAAAATTATATAGCTTCTAATATGAGACTTACACGTGGCAAAAAGACTTCTGAAATCTGAAATATGGTGCATTGAAGCCAAAACAGATGCATACGTAGTTGTCACATAAGTTTCATGTCTTCTGTTTTAATAGGGTAAAAGGGATAAATATGATTTACAATTGCATAATTTGCTTCCTGTGAATTTTATTTTAATTTTCTTCATTTTCTAATAATATCGTGTTTAGATATGTAAGTACATCAAAGTTATTTACAACAATTAAAGTTAACTGAGAATCTTATGTAACTACATTCCTCATTTATCATAACTGTGATAGTCTACAAGCTAAGTGCTCTTCCAAGAATTTCTTAGCAAAAATGCACCCAAAAACTATAACTACAAATAAATCCAAGAACTCATACAGCATAAAATATTACTAATAACAACTTAAAAACAAAACCAATGCTTAAACAATATTAACTTTGAATATTAAATTGGGCAGAATATGCAGCGGAATGATGACAAACTCGAATACTTACTTGAATACCAGAGACGCAGAAACAGATGATATTTGATCTTGCGTTGACCAATTCACGAGTTCAAAAGAACCAACAACCCAACTCAATCCGATGAGTGGAACTATTGAATTCCAGTAAGACCTCTTTCGAAAATCTTACAAGAAGAACTCATAGATATTGATCTATAGCCCTTAAGTATCGAAATCAAAAGACAATGTTACTATAGATGCCACTTTCCAGCGAACTACACAAGAAAGATAAGTCTTAAAGATCGTCACTACTCAAAGCAACAACCAAAAAAATTTCTCTACACAAGAACAAAAACTCAAAAAGGTTAAAACCTCACAAAATCAATTCAATTCGTCATGTTAAACTCGAGGTGCGACCATGGGTGGTTGGCGGAAAACCCTAGGGAAGAACTAGGGAAATCTCCCTATTTTCTATGAGGACAAAATCAAATTGGACTCTTTGATTCCTAATTTTTTTATGACCAAGAAAACGAACCTAGACTCTTCTATAGACCTAATACATTAGATCTAAGTGTGAAAAGAAATTAAAACTCCTATTACTAAGGAGATATTCTCGAAAAAACAAGGTTCATCCTTGCTCCAATGCTTGGTGGCAAAATAATCTCCTTTTCTTGAGCTCCACTCAACCAATCTCTACCTTGTAGAGTATTTATTTGCCAAATATAAATAAATAAAATAGAGAATGGCCGAAACTCCTCCTATAATGTAGGAAAGGAAGGAATCTTGCCTCCCTTAACCCTTAAGCTAGGGTTTAAGGCGCCCAGCTATGGGCTCTTGGCTCATCAACGGGCCTTGAGTAAACAATGTTAGTCAATGGATCCCTAATGTAAGGATTCTTTATAATTGGCTATTTACTAACATTCACAACCTTCACAAGTTCTTCTCCTCTGGCTTGATCATCCTCTTGTCCTTCTATAGCTCGATGGTCTCCATCATCCCCCCCTCTCTTCAAAAGAATTCGTCCTCGAATTAAATCCTTCGTCAAACTCGTAAGGAGTGGGATTGGACACATTGAACGTTTTGTAGGCGTCATCACTCTCTCCTTCTGCAACAGCTCCATTGCATCGAACACTTCTAGCAAGCTATGCAGCAACTTCAACTTTCCTTCGAAATTTCCTACAAAATTTCTCAACAACACATACTACAAAACCATTAGTAGCATAGGAATTCCTATCAAATTCCATCCCTATCGATTTCACAAACCATCTAATCAAAGCATCAACAATTTTAAACTTAATGACATAAGCAAATATCTTAATAAATACAATTTGTTCAGCATTCCTTTTACTTAGACAATTTTGCGATTTTAAGTGCCTAAGAGACTCATGATAAGTATGAATAATAAAATCCTTATCATAAGTTAGATACTTCAGACAAGCTCCATTTAACTTCTCACTAAAGTAAGCAATAGCTCTTTTGTCTTGCATAAGTACAGCTCCTATTCCTATCCCAAATGCATCACATTCTAACTCAAAAGTCTTATCAAAATCAGGTAATGCTAAGACAGGGGTAGTACACAAATCTTTCTTCAATTGCTCAAACGCTTTCTCTTGAGAAGTTCCCCATACAAACTTAATATCCTTTTTCACTAACTCATTCAATGGGGCTTTTTTGTAGAAAAGTCCTTAACAAATCTCCTATAAAAACTAGCTAAACCATGAAAAGATCTTACTTGAGATGTATTAGTATCTATAGGCCAATTTTTTATAGCTTGTATCTTAGACTCATCAACCTGAATTCTATTTCCACTAACAACAAAACCTAAGAACACTACTTCCTTAACACAAAAAGTACACTTAGGTAAGTTAGCATATAGTTTCTCACTTCTTAGCGTTTGTAAAACTAACTTCACATGTTCAGTATGTTCTTGCAAATCCTTAGAGTACACTAAGACATCATCAAAGTATACTACTATGAATTTCCCAATATAATGCCTCAAAACATGATTCATTAACCTCATGAAAGTACTAGGTGCATTAGTTAATCCAAAAGGCATTACTAACCACTCATACAATCCAAACTTAGTTTTGAATGCAGTTTTCCACTCGTCTCCTTGTTTAACTCTAATTTGATGTTAACCGGATTTCAAAACAATTATAGAAAATATTTTAGCACCATAAAGATCCTCAAGCATATCATCTAACCTAGGGATTGGATGCCTATAGTAATCTTATTAACAACACGACAATCAACACATATACGCCATGTACCATCTTTCTTAAAAACTAAAATAACAGGAACAGCACAAGGACTAAGTGATTCTCGAATTTGACCTTTAGCAAGGAGTCCATCCACTTGCTTTTGCAGCTCTTTCGTTTCCTCCAGATTAGCACGATACGCCGGTTGGTTAGGTATAATAGAACCAGGTATTAGGTCAATTTGATGCTCTATCTCTCGGATGGGAGGGAGTTCGTCAGGCAACTCCTCAGGAAATACATCCTCGTACTCTTAGAGTAGTTTTTAAATTACCTTAGGCAAATTATTAATAGAATCTGTTAGCACAGAAGTTTTCTCATTAAATAAAACTAAATACATACCTTTGCCTTCTGCATAAAACTTCTCTACCATTTTAGGACTAGCAAAGAAATTCTTGCCAATCTTGCCTCGCTTTTGATTCTTCTTTGGAACCTCCTTTTCAACTTTAGAAGTTGAATCCTCAGCTTTGTTGGAACCTGTTCGCTTCTTTTCTTTTTCTTTATACATTTGTAGATTATATTCTTGAATTTGAAAAGGTGAAAGAGGTGATAAAGTATAACACTTGCTATCTATTACAAAGGAATACTTATTCGTAAATCCATCATGCTTGGCTTTGCGATCATACTCCCATGGTCGTCCCAACAATAAATGACTTGCTTCCATTGGCACCGCATCACACATAACTTCATCTTTATATTTTCCAACTATAAATGGAATACTCACTTGTCTAGTGACTTTAAGATCACCACAATTATGTAACCATTGCAATCGATATGGTATAGGATGCTTAATCATAGGCAACTTCAAGT